TTCCTTCACATATAGCTTCACATAAAACTCATTCACATCATTCCTTCACATATAGCTTCACATAAAACTCATTCACATCATTCCTTCACATATAGCTTCACATAAAACTCATTCACATCATTCCTTCACATATAGCTTCACATAAAACTCATTCACATCATTCCTTCACATATAGCTTCACATAAAACTCATTCACATCATACCTTCACATATAGCTTCACATAAAACTCATTCACATCATTCCTTCACATATAGCTTCACATAAAACTCATTCACATCATTCCTTCACATATAGCTTCACATAAAACTCATTCACATCATTCCTTCACATATAGCTTCACATAAAACTCATTCACATCATTCCTTCACATATAGCTTCACATAAAACTTATTCACATCATACCTTCACATATAGCTTCATATAGGACTTTACATATAGCCTCATTCATATATAATAATATAACAATACAATAACACTCATATAATGCCTTCAAGGCCATAATCAATACACATTCAATAAGTACACACCTCCACCATAAGTGGATCAATCCAAACAAGAACAATTTCAATATAGCATGAAAGTAGGTCAACTTACCATTCTCCAAAGCCATAATCACCATTATCCAATTCTCAACAATTCTAACATCACAAGAGAATTTACCCATGACTTGCCTACAAGGCCATAATTCTCAACTCATCCATACACCAACAATCCACCAACAATAGATATAGATAACAATAGGAATCAATAATACAATTCAATCTAAGTACAATTCCATCAATACCCAAGCATTATCATAAAACCCACTTCATAAGCCAAACTTAGAGATTTAAGGAGATCATGGGTCCATGGAGTATTTTCATCTTAAATCGTCAATACAACAACAATATAACCATAAAGTGCCATTAGAAACCTTTTAAAACCATTTGGTGGAAGAACCCATGAGATAGAGTGAAACCTAGATTTTTCATACTTTGAAATAACTTTGGATTTGGCTCCTTGAATGGAAATTTAGACAAGGATCAAGACCACCATACCTTTGCTATGATCTCCCACGAAATTTGATGAAGAAAGCCTTGAATCCAAAGCCCTAGCTCCCACTTCTTCTTCTTAATGGAGGATTGTAGAGAGGGAAATGTTTTAGGGATGGGAATTGAACTAATGGTATCTAGGAAATAATATATGTCATTTGGAAGAATGGTCCAACACTTAGAAAAAAAAAGAGGTGGGTGAACAGTAATTTCGGTCACTGGAAATTTGCATTTCCTGCCGGACAGATTTTACGAAAATGGGCATAACTTCTTCGTCCGAACTCCGAATGAGGTAAAACGAAGTGAGTTAGGTAGCTAACTCAAAGGGCTTTCCATGGATATATTATTGGCCACCCAAATAATTTGTGTGCTAGGAGATATGACCCTCCAAAGTAGACCCTCGAAAAAGGCTTCACTTGGAAATTTCGGATTTTGATACGGTTGCTCTAAAATTTGGGTTAGACCCATTTCCCACTCAATTTGACCCCCTAAACAAGAATATGAAGTCGGATTTTCGAAAAACGAAACGGATCTTTTTATATACAGCTAAACAAGTTTCCGGTAACTTCCGAAGCACATTTTTAAGAACTTTTTGGGGTCAAATTCAATTATAACCATTTCATTAAGTTCTCGACTCCAAACTCACATGTGAGACTCTAGTTTCACTCTATCATTTTCCGAGTCGTTACAACAACAACCAAATAGAGTATGCCTGCACAACAATAAAAACTCAGCGTATCGCCACACCCCTCTTTTCCAACCCAAAATAACCATAACCAAATCCTAACCACGAGTCTTCAAACCATTAAATCCATAAAAATATGTATAATACAGTTTTATAATTGTTCAATATAACCATAATAACTTGAACTCGCCGCTTCCAATCATCATCCTATACGTTCGTCCAATAATTACATTTGGAGTCATGTCTTTCTCTTCATATGCAATAAGAGCTTAAAAGGACAAAACCTAAACTTAAACTTGATGGATCTTGCAGTACATTAACTTGTCTTGTCAATAACAAACAGTCTCCTTAAACGCAAGACGTTGAACCAAGAAGAAACAATTTGAAAATTGCAATGCAATAATTGAACCAGCGTTACACTAATTTATGTTACAATAAATATCCATCTATACTTCTTCTTCTCTTCCAAACTCAAATCAACAAGAACCACACACATACAAAGCATTTCCAAAAATATTCCAGCAACAA